ATGCTTGGATGCTGAATAACAAAAACAAAACAAAAAATTACACCATTTATTAGATAGAAGATGTGATAGTATGTTCCAGTTAATGAGTTTGTAGCACGAAATTACATAATATAGTATTGATTCAGTTTGGTTTAATCTAGTGCAGATGCATTATTCTAGCCTTAGGAGTTCTGCTTGCTTAACTTTCTTAGGACAAAGAATGTGACTTACTTATGCAAAAATTGAGCAATGAGTAATGGCTTCGCTGTAGTTTTTCCTAATTTGCTATTTAAAATTTGTCTCATCGACTGCTTATTAACTAGTCTAAGTATTTTAAATATTTGCAAGTCTATTGTGTGAATGACTTGAGTAGTTATTAAAGTGGAATGTCAACTTTTTTTTATTGGAAACATTCCTATTTTTGTTGAGCTCTCCTTCCTTTGTAGATGAAAAATTATAGTTTATGGCCTTTGTTTAGTTGGTTCTTTGATTTGGTCCTACACACCTAAGACAAAGGCATGAGCTTGAGAGTGGTGCTATTAAAGAGAGGACCTGCAAGAATTGGTTAGATCTAAGGCCAATTAAACTGTTAAACAAGGACTCTTTTCTAAGGTCACAGACTGTAACCCCCAAACCTCATCATGATGGCAGTGTGTGAACTATTTCAAGAGGACCAGACAAATGTGTTCACATCCTTTCCTACTATTGAAAACATGAGAACACTGGAGCAAGGGAACATCCCCGGAAGTTTGTCCTTCCACAGTGCCAGGTTCATTAGGAGAATAAACCCCCGTTACACCCTATTACCTCAGTCTTGCCATAGGATTTGATATAACTGTCCTGGCTGTCTGTGACTCCATGGTGAATTGACAAAGGTGTCCAAAAAGTCCACTCTTCTCTGCTCTGTACATCGATAGCACCCAGCCTTTCACAGGGCAGCACATGCCACAAACATACTCCTCTCTCCCCATGCTGTGGTGGAAATATCCATAGATGAGTCAGATGACCAGAGTTGAAGTCCTGGGATTTGGGAATTTAGAAAAAAACCACACACCACCAGGTCCAGTTGTAGTACCATAATAGTTTTGTGACTTGAGCAGTTTTATACATCTTCTCTGGATTTTGTTTAGTATTTTTAACAGCCTTATTAAGATATAATTCACGTATCATACAATTCACTTATGTAAAGTATATAGTTCATTGGCTTTCAGTATATTCACAAAGTTATCCATCCATCACCACAGTTGATTTTAGAACACTTTCATTGCCCTCCAAAGAAACCCCACACCTTGCTGTCACTTCCCAGTCCCCTCATTCCCTCTAGACCTAGGCATCCACTAATCTGTTTATAAATTTGTCTAATCTGGACGTTTCACATTAATAGAATCGTACAATGTGTAGTCTTTTGTGACTCGCTTCTTTCACTTAGCTAATATTTTCAAGGTTCCTCAGTATTTAGCACTTATTAGTGCTTTGTTCCTTTTTATTGCCATATAATATTCCACTATGTGGATATATTACATTTGATTTATTCATTCATCAGTTGATGGACATTTAACCTTTTTCCACTTTTTGGCTACTATGAATAATGCTGCTATGAAACTTCGTGTACAAGTTTTTGTGTGGGCCTGTTTTCATTTCTCTTGGGTATATACATAAGAGTGAAATTGCTAGGTCACATGGTAACCCTATGCTTAGCTGTTTGAGGAATTCCTGTGTATATTATTTGTTTTGTTTCTATTATAAATGGAATTGTTTTAATTTCATTTTTTATTTGCTCATCACTACTATGTAGAAGTACAATTTTTATATATTCATCTTATCTCTTGCAACATTGCTGAATTCGTTTATTGATTCAGTTAGTTTTTAGTGGGATTGTGTCATCTGAAAATAGAGATAGTCTACCTCTTTCTTTTCAGTTTGGATGCTTTTTATTTCCTTTTCTTGCATAGTTGCCCTGGCTAAAACCTCCAGTACAATGTTGAATAAAAGTGGGAGCTTAGTCATCCTATATAATAAAAGGGTAATATGCTAATCCACTTAGCGGCAAAATGACCATTCACTATGATATGCACTGACCATCAGGGAGCAGATGCTCAACACAGGAGCTGCCCCATGATGGTCAGTGTGTGCATTCCCACAGGAGGAGCGCCACTGAGCCACAAGCCAAGCTGACAGTTGGCAAGTACAGTGGCCCAACTCCATCTAAGTGCTAGGACTGTCTGACTGCAGGCCTAAGCCGTCAATCAGACATCCCCCGAGGGCTCCCGGACTGTGAAAGGGCACAGGCCAGGCTGAGGGACACCTTCTCCCCCACCTCTCCCAAGTGCACAAATGTCGTACACCAGGCCTCTAGTTTTAAATAAAGTCCTACATCCAAAAATTACTTATAAAGATTAATGGTAGGTAATGTTGTCAAGGCCTACAATCTATAAGCAGTGAATCTGAGATACTGATACAGATGTGTATGCTCATAATTTCTATTTCTCCTGGAAAGCATTAGTTAAACACGATCATTTTTACTAAACTGTTGTCTCCTAACAAATGTTTTGTAGTGAAAATTTAGATTGATTGAAGAAATCTTTAAAATCAATCTTTCTCTCCAATTCAATGAACAATATGCTTACATACTCCGGATACAGATAAAACATGGTCCTTGCATGATAGATGAATGTAAACACTAGTCAGTGTCCCAATGTTTCTCATGCCTCCCTCTAAAATGCCTTTACTTTTCTTAGCCATTAAAAATAGAATAGAGGAACTTTGGTGCTAGAAGAGGCTATCCTCCCTCCTTTCATAAATGAAGAAATAGTTCAGTAGAGGTCAAATCCTGGGCAAGGTCACAAGTGCTATGCATATATACTGGTATAATAGACCCTCAGTTACTGGCTGTTGCTATGCATATATACTGGTATAGTAGGCCCTCAGTTACTGGCTGCTGAGTGAGTTAGGACTAGGGACCTTCAGAGCTTCCCTCGATTGGGGTGAGAACTTCTGAGTTCTAAAGCCTCATTGGTCACCTGGCTCTAAACCTCATGCTGGTGAATTCTGCTCTGCTGTCTCCAGGCAGCTGTTGTGCATCCAGCTGACAGATCTGACTGAACTAGAGGGCTCTCAGAATCCTCCTGAGAGCAGCTGGCTCTCTGGTCTGAACTGATTTGTTCCTCGCAGCTTTAGTTTGGGATAGTAATTTTTTGTAGGGTTATATGCAGTGTGGGGATAGGGACTTGGCAGGGCAAAGTAATGTTTTAGTAGTCTACCCTTTAAATTAGGGGTGTCGAACTCAATCAGAGAAGGGGCCAAAATCTAAAATCCAGCCTAAATCGCGGGCCGAATGGTTTACTGAACAGTCATAAACTGTCATTGTGATGGAACGCAGCGGAGTGCAGTGATGACAGCGCGGTGCGGGCCACATTGCAAGGCCTGGCGGGACGGATTTGGCCCGAGGGCCTTGTGTTTGACATGTGTGCTTTAAATCTTCCACCTAGAAGAGAATTCCTAATAGGGACAAAGAGACACTGCTATACTTTTTCATGTTCTCCTAAATCCATTTCTACTATCCCACTTCCTTCCTTGGTAATGCCAAAGGAAGGGTGTGTGTTTCTTTAATTTGACAGAGGGAATGGCGGCCCAGAAAATTCACTTGCCTAAAGTTAGTAGGGTTTAGTATATATTGAGGGGGACTGGCAGAAGAGGAGATGGGCATGGTGTACTGTCCTTGGTTTCATAGCTGTTTGAGTATGTACAGTTTGTGTATTAGAGTCCTTAGGTAGCTCTTCAGGGCCTAGAATGAAACTCTAATAAAGAACTACCCTAGCCCTAACCCATTTGGCTCAGTGGATATAGCGTCAAGTTGAGAACTGAAGGGTCCCAAGTTCAATTCCAGTCAAGGGCATGTACCTTGGCTGCGGGCACATTCCCAATAGGGGGTGTGCAGGAGACAGCTGATCAATGTTTCTCATTGATGTTTCTAACTCTATCCCTCTCCCTTCCTCTATGTAAAAAAATCAATTAAAAAATATATATATATTTAAAAACTACCCTAGTAGTTGAGATCCAGTGCTATGGTTCTATGACTTTTTTGGCTGGTGCTATTGTTACAATCATTTGGTTAATTGTGACAAAGTACTAACTGATTGTAACTGTTTTCCTGCCATCATCACCTCCCAAGTAAAGACAACCCTTCACATTCTTCCTCAGAACTTGCTCCACCTCGGTACTTTGCTGTTAATATAGAACAGAAGCATTTGGTTAAAATGTAGAAGTCTATGTAACGAAAGTATGTTTTTAAAATAGAAAATTTGAATAGTTTCAGTTTTCTTTTAATTTGCTTAACTCTGTCTCTTTTCTCCTTTCTTCTCTTTGCCCATTTTGAACTCAGAAAAACTTGAAGGCATTCCTTGGTACAGTAGTAACAGATGCCTGGGTTTGAATCAGGCTCTGCTACTTATTGTCTATGTGATCGTCAATTGTTTGCTTGACCTCTCTGTGCCAAAACTTGTTACCTCATAGGATTGCAGCAATGGTTAAATGAGTTACTACGTATAAACTGTTAAGAGTAAGGACTTGGCATGTAGAATGTACATCATACATGCTAGCATTTTTGTTTAAAGTAGTCATAATAATAAAAATACTCTCACTACCACCGCTACTGCTGTAGTCTTAATCCAACTCCAATTCTTCTGGTCAAAGTTGAAGTACTTGCAATTTAGCTTATTTAAAAACTAATTGAAGGTAATTTGTCCATCACACATACCTTCCTCTCCTATCAGTTGGGATGATAAGGAACAGTTGGAGAATGAGACCAGTTTAGAAGGCATAACTAATAATCCTTTTCTGATTCTTCTCATTGGGCTTTCTAGGGAGCTAAAAAGTGTTTCCCTTGATTGGATTTAGCTCGAGCATCCCAGCTCACTCAGTGTTGGAAAACCAACCACTTTCTAATCTGTTGATCTAGAATTAAACACAACCACCTCCAGGGTTGTCTTTAATGCCTTGTTCCTTCCTCTCTCAATCTGCAGGTATCTCAGATGAAGACATTATCAACATTACTCTTCCCACTGGCGTCCCCATTCTCCTGGAACTGGATGAGAACCTGCATGCTGTTGGGCCTCACCAGTTCCTCGGAGACCAAGAGGCTATCCAAGCAGCCATTAAGAAAGTAGATGATCAAGGAAAAGTGAAAAAAGCTGCAAAATAAAGTGTTCCCAAGTGTTGGCTAGGAATGGCTACAAAAAGGAGTGGCATACAGTGTGTTATAGGTGCTGATCTCTCCCTCTCCTCTCTCTCTTCCTGATTTTTTCCAGAGCTAGGCTGTGGGGTGAAGTTTGTATCGGTAACTAGGTTACTTATGTTGGCCCAGATAAAGACTTTAGGGTGCCTGAGTGCTTATGTCATAAGTCTCTTATGGGTTAGCTCTCCTGCCAGCCCTGTTTGAATTAAACTACTCAGCAGTGGGGCTTAATGTCCTAAGTTTCTTAGATGGTAGAGTGATAATGGAGGTAGAGTTTAAGGTATTTCATCATTCAACAAATCATTGTGAACCCACCACTGACAGGTACTAATTACTGTAATAAGTAGTTCACTTTTATATTTACTAAGACTTTCTGGGATGATAGGAGAGGGTATTAGATAATATACTAAACGTATTTATTATTAGTCTTTTCCTCTAGGAAAAGGGATGTTTCGATAGGTAAGATGAGAGGCCCATTAAGTGGGAAAGCCACAGGTGGGTTCCTCCACGACAGCCAGCGATAAACAGCAAGCCCCTTTGCCCTGTCTAGCCCAGAGACTCCTTTGTTTGAGATTTGGTGGCATTCCTCTTCGGCAGTTAAGAGTTAGCAGCACATAGACAACTATAGCTGTTTGTGTTCTCTTATTTTTGTTTCTTGAACTTTAATCCTTGGGTACTTAAAAAATTCATTTAAAAAATAAAGTTCTGTGACCAAAACTCTTCTGCTCATATCTTCCTGTATCACTCAAAGAGTTGCACCTTTTTCAACACATAGACACTCTAATTCTCTATAAATTGAAGGTTGGTGTCAGGAAGTGTAACACAATTGATGTAATTTTATTCATGTGAGCAAGGGAAATTATATATTGGAGTTTGTCACATACATTTATTGTTCATTTGCTGAGGGCTAAGAGTAGCCAGGGTAGGCCATGGACAGAATTGATTGCTTATCCATCTTAATGATACCATTTTCCATAGTATATTTTTAAATACTTTGGGTATGTATGTCATTTCTTTAAGGAACATATATTTCAATGATAAATTCATGTAAAAAGTTGTAGCTGTAATAGTTGTTACAGATATTTACCATTTTTTATGGCTTTCCATTGGTGAATTAACTCGTTGTATCCATGTTACAATAAAACTGGCATTAGAAGAAAACTAATTCTAAAACCCTTGTCACTGCTTGGTCTCTCTTTAATCCTTAAGTCAAGACTCACAGAGCATTGGCTGATGAAGGTGGCTGAAAAAAAAGAGGAACCTGGTTTGTTCACAGCTGGCCACATCTGTGATGGATAAGAAAGTAGAATGTGGATATTTTTCATTTCTGAACAACCACTGGCTTTTCTACTGTAATCCTTTTTAGTCAAATTGTTTAACCAAATGACACTTTAGAATTTAGAGATCAGAGTCAACCACCAACTACCAGATATCCCTACAATTATAAAATCTGTGTTTAGGCTGCAGCTCAGACCATTTTGAACAGCTTCATCTCTGGAATTGGCCTCTGAATTTTCCAGTCTAGGGGTGACCATGTCTTAATGCAGATCAAGATCCTATAGTTGGATTCTTGCCTTGTCCTAAATCTAGATGTCGACTTCCAGGGGCCCCACCCGCAACATGGTATGCTTCTGCATACAAAACTATACTCATGCCCAATCACTTTGGAATCTTGTATACTTCCTCAGGTAGGTAGGGATCATTTTTGGATACTTTCTGATACAATCTGGTTTTATTTTTAAGATCCTGGCTGAAATAAATGAAGAGACATTCATAAAACATGTAAAATTATTTTTTACTACTTCAGCATTAGATACCAGAGAGCCTGTTTTCTTTACATGCTTACAAGGTATAATTTTTGATGTAGGAATCTTTTTTATAATTGTTTTTTATTTGTTGTTTAAAGTATTACAGATGTCCTTTCCTCCTCCTCCCTTTACCCCCTCTGATGTAGAAATTTTTAAGGTTGCCTAACCTATATCCTAATTTGGCATCCTTCTGTTCTATGTCAAGCTGGGACCAAAATATGGGGATTTTTTATTTTATTCTAAACAGAGGCCGGGTGCACAAAATTCATAGGATTCCTAGGCTTGGCCAGAGATCAGGGCAAATTGGGGGCCTTCTGGCTGCCTGATGGGGCCTTCATTTCATGCTGCCCTCTGGTGGTCAGTGCATATCATGGCAAGCGATTGAACTGGTTACTTGACAATTTGTATATTTGCCTTTTATTATATAGAATAAATGGCAGATAGCTTGTCTAGAAATTTGGCCCTTGAAGAGGACAGCCCATTCTATCCATACTGTTTTCCACAGGTTGTGCTTGCCCTGTTACCAGGCATAATGTCTCCTCTACCCAGGCTGGAATGATTGTCCCAGTATGGTAAGATGAAGGCAGTAAAGTTGCAAGATGCTACTCCGAGAGTTCTAACTTGTAAATATCTCAGCTGAGTACTGTATCCCACCAAGTACAATGATAATTTTTCTACAAGAGAAGTGCTGCTTCAAACAGTGGAGGTTTTTGCATCATTTAACTTGAGCATGGAATTAGCAAAGCATCCTTATCATTATGTCACATATTTTTCCTAGATAAGAAGTGCAAGGAAGATTTCTTCATGTGATCTGGCTATTGCCAAACTCAACCAGATTCTCTTTATTTTACTTATTCTTTATTGATTAAAGTATTACATATGTCTTCTTTCCCCCCCATTGACCTCCCCTGGCCACTCCCACCCCCAGCACATGCCCTCACTCTACTAGTGTCTGTGTCCATTGGTTCTGCTTAGATGTTTGCATATAAGTCCTTTGGTTGATCTCTTATCCCATCCTCTCCCATGCCTTCCCCCTAAGGTTTGATGGCCTGTTTGATGCTTCTCTGTCTATGAATCTATTTTTGTTCATCAGTTTATGTTTTTCATTATATTCCACAAATGAGTGAGATTATGTGATATTTATCTTTCTCCTACTAGCTTATTTCACTTAGCATAATGCTCTACATCCATGCTGTTGTGAATGTAAGAGTTTCTTCTTTATAGCAGCATAGTATTCCATTGTGTAGATGTACCACATTTTTTTAATCCACTCATCTGCTGATGGGCACTTAGGCTGTTTCCAAATCTTGGCTATTGTAAATTGTATTGCTATGAACATAAGGGTGCACATATCCTTTCTGATTGGTGTTTCTGATTTCTTGGGATATATTCCTAGAAGTGGGATTACTGGGTCAAATGGGAGTTCCATTTTTAATTTTTTGTGGAAACTCCATACTATTATATTTTTCACAGTGGCTGCACCAGTCCATTTCCACCAGCAGTGCATGAGGGTTCCTTTTCTCCACATCCTTGCGAGCACTTGTCATTTGTTGATTTGTTGATTCTGACGGATATGAGATGGTACCTCATTGTCATTTTGATTTGCATCTCTCAGATGATTAGTGACTTAAAGCATGTTTTAATATAGCTCTTGGCCTTCTGTATGTCCTCTTTTGAAAGTGTCTAGTTAGGTCCTTTGCCCAGTTTTTGATTGGATTGTTTACCTTTCCTTTTTTAAGTTGTATGAGTTCCCTATAAATTTTGTAGATTAAACCCTTATTGGAGATAACATTGGCAAATAAGTTCACCCATGCAGTGGGCTTTCTTGTTGTTTTGTTGATGGTTTCTTTTGCTGTGCAGAAGTTTTTTATTTTTATGTAGTCCCATTTGTTTATTTTCTCCTTAGTTTCCATTGTCCTAGGAGCTGAATCAGTAAAGATATTGCTACGTCGTGTGAGATATTTTGCTGCCTATGGATTCCTCTTAAGATTCTCATGGATTTCTGTCTTATGTTTAAGGCCTTACCCATTTTGAGTTTGTTTTTGTGTATGGTGTAAGTTGGTGGTCTAGTTTCATTTTTTTGCACGTATCTAACTTTCCCAACACAATTTATTGAAGAGGCAGTTTTGACTCCATTGTATGCACTTGCCTCCTTTGTCAAATATTGAGCATAATGGCTTGGGTCGATTTCCGGGTTCTCTGTTCTGTTCCATTGGTCTATATGTCTGTTCTTGTGCCAGTACCTGGCAGTGTTGAGTACAGTGGCTTTATAATATAGATTGATATCTGTCAACTAGATTCTTTTGCAGATTATTTCTCACCTTGGATTATGACAAATTTATGAAAGTGCAATTCCTACTCATGCACATCAATGGCAATGTTTGTCTTCTAGACATTTTAAATGTATTCTTATGCTTTAAAAGTGATGTTTGTTTTCAAAGTTCAACTTTCATCTTACCTATGAAACCTTTCATATGTTCTTTCCTCAGAAATAAACTGAAATGGTTGCAGATCTTGATCATGTTTCCCGTTTTTGTGTTTTGCATAATTGGATTTTGCAAGTTTTTGGCTCCCTTTTATAACACCATTTGTTGTATTAAATCAGGCCTTGCCTCAGCAGATCTGGCTGTGGCAGATGCCACATTATGCTGTGGCCTGAGGGTTTTCACATTGGACTATGATGGGAATTTAAGCCACTCATCCCAAGAGGAATGGGAAACACAAAATATAAGAATATTTTAATTATTCAATCTCCCTGTAATGACAAAGTTATTTGGAAAAATGACAGGCAGGATTAAAGTCACTCTTTTTCCATTCCATAGTTGGTAAAATCTTTTGTTTATTGCAGGGTAATCTAGCTATTACAGTTTAGTCTTTAAGACACTAGGACCTTAAGTTGTATGTTCCTTTGACAATATTTTAAAGATAGGCTGTCTCCTCACTCTTTCTCTTACCCTACTGGGTTATTTTGAAACAACTGCCAGACATCAAACAGGATAGATTTTGAGAAGGAAAATGGGTTACATAATCTTTGGCAAGTGAAAATGGAAGCCTTCAGACATCTGTTCTGAACTCTGTCCTTTTTGATACTCTCTAGGGAAACTAAATGGCAGCCCTGGCTTAATTGTCCATTTTGAGTCTTGACTTTGTGTATAGTTTGTTGTCTCTGTTTGCTGTTAGTCTATTATGTGTGACTTTGGCAGAATATTGTGGGATGACTTGGTGACCTATGTTAAATTCAACTTAAAAGATGAAAATGTTTCAGAGACTGATTTAAGTAAGTAACCCTGGAATAATTTTGTAGCTTTAAAAATTAACACATTTGTTGATGTTATTGTAAATCAGGTTACTCACTATGGAAGAAGGGAGATACAAAACGAAAGAAGTTAAAGAAGAACCTGTTTTATTGGTTTTGAACTGGAGATATTAGTATGAATGTGTGTGTAGGTATATGTATTTTCCTCTTTCTTCACAATATTACCTCTCTCTTCCCCTCTCCCAGATCTGGTTTCATCCTCTAGTCCTAGAAGTGATAACCTATAATAAAGAGCACACCCAGTTCCCCTGGTCTTGCTTTCTAAATACTATGCCACAGAACCAGAAATGTTGGTTGATTCCAGGTTTAAGGTAAATAAAGTATAAGGTGCGTTTGGAACATCTTGAGTCAGAAAAGAGAATGCCCTAACTGATTTGGCTCAGTGGATAAAGTGTTGGCCTGTGGACTGAAGGGTCCCGGGTTCGATTCCGGTCAAGGGCATTTACCTTGGTTGTGGGCACATCCCCAGTAGGGGGTGTGCAGGAGGCAGCTCATCCATGTTTCTCTCTCATCGATGTTTCTAACTCTATCCTCCCTTCCTCTCTGTAAAAAATCAATAAAAATATATTTTTAAATAAAATAAAATGTAAATTTCTTTGAGAGAAAAAGAGGAGAAGAGGGGAGGAGAGGAGAGGAGAGGGGAGGAGAAGAGAATGCCCAAAGACTAGTGCGACACAAAAACTGGCTTTTTAAGTGTCAAATTTGGGAGAATTTGAGACTAAAGAAAAAAATTATGCTAATGGATTATAGAACATTTGTCTTAGTCTGCTCAGATAGCTATAAAAAATACCACAGACTAGGTGGTATTCAACATTTATTTCTCACAGTTCTGGAGACTGTTAAGTTCAAGATCAAGGTGCTGGCATACTTGGTGCCTATGAGTACTCTCTTCATGGTTTTCAGATCGACTTCTTGCTGTATCCTCACAGGATGGAGAAAGAGGGACTGGTCTTTCTCTTAGAAGAGCACTAGTCTCATCATGAGGGATCCAACCTCATTAGCCTCATCTAAACCTAATTACCTCCCAAAGACCCCACCTCTGAATTCCA